CTGTGTGTCTGTGTGTCTGTGTGTGTGTGGGGGGGTCATCAGGTTTTCATCAGAACAAGCATACTTACCTGCTAAGAAATCTTGCTGGGCTTCCTCCTTTTTGGTTCCTTCATACTGACGATGAAATATAGGGCCAGATCTGTGACAGGAAGTTCTCTACCACTGAGCCACATCCCTAACACTCTTTGCTTTTTGACATAGTCTCCCTAACTTGCCTAGTTGGCCTCCAATTTATAATCTCCCTATTTCATCCTCTCTGGTAGGTGGGATTACTGATGTGAACCAGTATAGCTTGCTTCATAATTTTTCCCTTTAAGCTATCACAATGTCACCTTCATGGGTAAGTAAATAAAATCAATATAATTGTAGTAAATATAATTGGTGTGGTGACTCATACCTGTAATTCCAGTCCCCAGGAGACTGAGACAAAAGGATTGCAAATTTAAGGTTAATTTTTGATATGTAATGGGTTTCCCTCAGCCTTGACTATATAATTAGAACTTGTCTGAATCATAAATAAAACACCCAGGAAGAAAATAGAAAAGAATAAGCTAATGATGTAGTTCAGTGGTGAAGTGCATGCCTAGCATGTGCCAAGTCCTAGTTTCAACCCACAGACCTCAAAAAATGCAAAAAACAATGAAGGAAGGAAGGAATTGAGGGAAGAAGTAAAGGAGGAAGGGAGAGATGGAGGAACAGAGCATGATGAGAATTCAAGAAGCAAAGGACTTAGTAACTCAGTTCAGTGAAGTTGACAAAGTTTCCAAATTGAATGAATCCTTAAAGTAACCTAATGCATGTCTGTTAATAGTTGTTTTCTATAAGCTGACTCTAATGGCTCACACCTTTAGTCCCAGCACTCAGGAGGCAGAGGCAGAGAATCTCTGTGAGTTCAAGGGCAGCCTGGTCTGTACAGTGAGTTGTAGGAGAGCTGGGACTACAGCTAAACAACAGGACTAATGAGATCCTGTTGTTTACTAAGGGGCTGGGAATTGGTTCTGTGCTTATCTTGCAAGAATGAAATCCTGGGTTCCACCCCCAGAGCCCATGGGGTATGGCTTGTGATCCTTGAACAGTGGAGATAGACAGGTGGCTCCCTAAGACTCACTGCCAGCCTACCTAGTCCAACTGGTGAGCGTCTGGCTCTTTAGTAAACTGTCTTGAAAAGAGGTAGAGTTAGGTTTTTTGTTTTTTTTTTCTTTCTTTTTTTCTGGAAGAATTGATGTCTTCATTTCCCACCATTCTCTAAATCTAGTATCATTGTAACTGATGGCTGTGGGACAATTCCATTCCTGATAATGCTAAAAATAAGAACCATGTAAAAATACAAGAACATATGGATTCATTGTTGAACTTTATATCTTAGGATGAGCTAACGTTAATGTATCTCAAATCATCTCATAAAATAAAAAGGGAAACAATACTTCCAAAAGCATTTTTTGAGATGACCATTATCCTGATTTCAAAACCGGGAAAGGACTTTGTGTCCTTTCCTACAGAAAATTGTAGGCCAATTTCCATGATGAACATGGATGTGGACATTTCCAATAAGTCCACAACACTAAAATGTCATATACCATGACCAAATTGGCACCATTCCAAGGATACATGGATGGCTCAACATATCAATAACTGTGATATGGCACATAAAGAGATGCAATGACAGATGTCACAGGTCACCTCAATGTCTGCAGAAAGGTCTTTGACAAAGTTCAACATCTTTTATGATAAATGTAAACCCTGAAGAAACTAGGGATAATGAATGTATTTCAATATAATAAATGGTATATATAGGAAAATTCTATCCTGCATTTTATTAAATGGGGGAAAGAGCATTTCCTCTAAATTAAGATGAGGAAAAGGGTATTTCCTTTACTCCATTTTAATATAGTTCTTAATGTCTTAAGAGCAATAAGGCAAGAGAAAGAAAGGGAAGCCAGACATAAGGCAAGAAGTTAAATGATTTGTATTTGTAAGTGACATGATCCTATGTTTGAAATCTAACATAATTTCAGCAAAGTAGCCTGCAATAAATCCATACAAAAGCCAGCAGGTTTTCAATTTACCAACAACATATATGGTAGAAATATCTGGAAAACAATCCCATACATGATTGCTTCAAAAACAATACAAAACAATTAAATACCTAGGAATATTCATAAGGAGGCTAAAGACATCTATAATAAAGCTTTAAAACACCAAATAAGGCTGGTTGTGATGGCTTACATCTATAATCCAAAGATCAGCTGGCAGAAGAAGGGGGATGGCTGCAATTTAGGGGCCAGCCTGGTTTACACAGTGAGAATCTGTCTCAAAAACCAAAAATAACCAACCAACCAACCAACCAACCTACCTACCTACCAAACAAACAAGCAAAATAGAAGACAATAGAAGATGTAGAAATGCCATCTATGCCTATGAATAGGTAGAATTAATATTGCAAATATGGCTATAGTCCTGAAATACATCTAGATATTCAATGCAGTTCCCAGTGACATTCTTTAAAGAACTAGAAAACAATTCCAAATTTATATGGATGCAGAAAAAAATTCTTAATAGCCAAAGCAGTTGTTATCAGGAAGAGCAATACTGGAAGTGTTAAATTTCTGTCTCAAATTCTATTACAGGGACATGGTTTTAAAAAAGAAAAAGTAAAAAGCATGGTACTGGCACAGAAATAGACACAGACCAATGGAATAGGATAGAAGCCTCAGATATAATCTATAGCTACAGTGTTAGAATCACCCACATTCCAGAACTAGGTGCTCCCCATCCCCCACCCAGCCATCAAAAACATAGAGCCCCAATCCCTGTAATCACAATGTAACATGTTCTCACTGTGCCATGGTACCATGCGGTCTTGCTCCATACCCCCATGAAGTTCAGGCCATCAACTCCTCCCTCCCCCAGTTTTTCCCCCTCTCTACCCTCTCACTCCCACTCAGAGATAGCATTTTGAGCCTCCCCCCAATAAATCCCTGTGTGACCTCTGTTGCATGGTGTGATTAGTGTGGCATTCCTTGGCCCTAAAATCACCAAAAATATCCTTACATAAAGTTATTTTATTTTCAACCAGAATGCCTAAAACATACATTGAGGGGCAGGGGGAGAAAAACTCATTCAACACATGGCATCAGGAAAACTTTCTCTTGTTCTTCCTTTTGTCCTTGGTACCCAGGGTGGGTCTTCCATCTTCAATTAATGTCTGGAAACACTCTTAAAGATGGGACCAGAACTGAATCTCCCAGGAGATTCTAAATCCAGTCAAGTTGACAATGAAGCTTAGCCATCACAGCTACATAGTGAGTTCCAAGACAGCCTGGGATACAGTGTGAGATGCTGTTAACAGAGAAACAGAAAAAGGAAATGTGAGTACTGGGCTACATACTGAACACCCAAATGAGGGATCTGCAAACAGTCCTGAGTGTTTTGGAAGAAGATTTATAGCCACTGATGTTATTGGTGAGAACAGTATCCATGATGGAAAAGTGAAGACAGGTGTCTTATCCAATGCTGTGGGTATATATTTTTTCTTATTGGTTGATTACTAAAGCTTTCTCAGCATATAGACAGGCAGAATTTACCAGGGGTGAGGGAAATTTCAAATAAAGAGGCAGGGAGAAGAAAGAGAGAAGGGATGTCATATAGTCACCTGAGAATCAAGTGACCCAGGCATCACTGGTAAGTCAAAGCTATTTGGTGATACACAGATTAATTGAAATGGGCTAATACTTAACACAGAGATAGCTAGTGGGAAGTCTAAGTCATTGATAAAAACTATAAATATATATTAAGTCTCTGAGTGGTTGTTTCATAGCAACTTTGGGGACCTAGTGGGCAGATAGAAACTGATCCAGTGGGACCCTGATAGACTGAGAAGGTCTCCCTCTATAGAAAAGGGTTTTATATGGGTATTCCATTTGGGGGAGGAGTTGAGAATGAAAGGGAAGAGTATACATTATCAGTCCTGAGTTGTCATGGTGACAGATACATATTGTTTTCTCTCCCATGAGTTTTAGCCTCAGATAGAACATATAGGAAGCATTTACAAAGAGTTTGTGACTGGCTGCTATATGAAAATTGCCTAGGTTAATTTCTTAGTTTTAGGTATAAACACAAATTCTTATCATTTCAAAACAAATGACTTTAATATAGGATATTGGAGATTGGTGATTATTTTGTTTTGGGGAAAATCCAATGAACAAATCTGAGTATTCATAGCTAGGAAACAGAACTGACAAGCCCATCAACATCAGGTCCCACAAGGATACACTGAACACAGGAATCACTGTGCATGAGGTCACTCAACTAGTGGAGCTGAGGACTCCTGTGGTGCCAGCTGCAGGGATGTTTGGGTAAGGGAGAGTGAAAGAGGGACTTGCTGTCTGTTTCCTTTCTATACACTTATTAGGTATTCCCTTAATTTGTAAAGAGAGTTCAAGAGCTGGCACAAGATGGAAAGAGATGGCAAGACAGTGATGAAAATATATATTCCTGAATAAGGTATGTGAGTAACTACATTGGGGGTGAGGTAGCTGATAGAGATCCAGCATAGAGATCCAGGATGTTCTAGACTACCCCTATCGTCCTGGACTTTAGAAAGTGATAGCACAGCTGGACATGGTGGCACACACTTTAATCCTAGCACTTGGGAGGCAGAGGCAGCTGGATCTCTGAGTTTGAGGTCAGTCTGGTCTACATAGTAAGTTCTGGGACAGCCAGGGTTATGTAAAAAGACGTTTCCTTAAAAATATTTTTTCTAGCACACTGAGTCCCAAATTAGGTAAGAACTCACACATAGGTGTGTATCATAATAACAAAACAGGAGACGAGCACATTTCCATCTAGGGCTTCAACTCTATAGAAAACCCTCAGACACCAATGCCTTCCTTACCTGCACTTTTCTTCCTCATCATCACAATGGAAGCCACAGCTCCAGTGACCACAACTCCAAGGAGAACCACACCAACAGTCATTCCAATTGTGGGCTGATGAGGTAGCTCTGGGAAGAGAGAAGAGTTGAGGAGTCCTAATGCACAGCTCAGCACTGATCCTACTTAGGATCTCCAGAAGGTCACCTGTTTCCTTGACAACAGGCTCTGTGCTCACACACCTCCTTACCCCATCTCAGGATGAGGGGCTCAGGCAGACCCTCATGCTGCACATGGCATGTGTATCTCTGCTCCTCCCCAGAAGGCACCACCACAGCTGCCCACTTCTGGAAGCTTCCATCTCCTGCAGGCCTGGTGTCCATCACCTCCATGTCCTGGGTCTGGTCTTTTCCATCCCTCTGCCAGGTCAGGGTGATCTCAGCTGGGTAGAATCCCAGGGCCCAGCACTTCAAGGTGACATCACCTTCAGGTGTAGGGTGATGGGTTACATGTGCTTTTGGAGGATCTGAGGAGAGGAGTTGGAAAGTTCAAGCATTTTATATTTTTTTCTGGGGGACTTAAGTGGAATTTATGTGCCTATCCTGGCAAAGCACTGGCAAACTATGCTTAAGTGGGACTGTGTGTGTGTGTGTGTGTGTGTGTGTGTGTGTGTGTGTGTGTGTGTGTGCAAACCCCATACAAGTTGACTACACTCAGGCACTAGAAAAAAAAAAAAAAAGATTCCCAAGTATCCCACCATGAAGAGAGGATTTCTGGTCCTGCCTCTGGTGGAGGGATCAGAGACTCATCACGTGAGTTAGACCTCCAAAGACATAGGGTGTGAGCAGAGAACTCAGCCTCTGGGAGGTCATGGTTCACTAAGGGCTTCAGACTGAAAGGAGCTGCTATTGGTTATTTGAGGGATCTTTCCTATCATCCCCAGACAACCTAAACTGTCCCGAGAGAAGGGTGAGCTCTAGGAAAGTCACTCTCTGAAGTCACTCTCAGGAAAACCAGGAGCACTCCTTCCCCTCAGTATACAAGAGAGAGCTGCAGTATTTCAGCTGGTCCCATTTTCCTCCCTCCTTGGAGGCAGCAGCCCTACTCTGAATGCAGATGGAGGAATTGCTTCCTAGCCCCTCTTACCTGAGCGCTGCAGAATATCCTTCCCTAGCTCCAGGTGCCCGAGTAGCCAAGCAAAGCACCAGCCCTCAAAGAAGATCCTCCAGTGTTCTGCTACATTTTTTGCCTCCCACTGCCGCTGGGTGATCTGAGCTGTCTTGTCTGCCACAGTCCAAGTTCTCATGTCCTCGTTCAGGCTGATGTAATCGCGGCCATCAAAGGCATGCCTATTGTGCCCGCGGAGGAAGATTCTGTCTGGACCCACGTCACAACCAATCAAACACTGGAAGGTATGAGATCCTGCGGCCGCCCCAAAGTTAGCCTGGTTCACAGAGCTCCGCCCACCCACAGAATTTCCACCAAAACTGCCCCGGACACCAGGACTCAGTCTGATGCTCTCCCTGGTCCAGGGTCTCTGCTGGCCTGGCAGCCTTGGACAGAATTTAGGACCTGGGACCCGAGATGACTTGGCCCATCCGTGGGGACATGTAGGGGTCACTCACCGTCATCGCTCTGGTTATAGATCTGGAGTGCAAATCGCAGGTTTTCTCGGGCCGTGTGCGAATAATGCTCCATACCCTTTCTCTCCCACTTCCAATAATTGGACCCCATTTGCTTCGCCCATGGTACACGGGGCTCCACTTTAGTAGCTGCCTCACTGTCAAAGCGCAGGAATTGAGTGTCGTCCACATAGCCAACGATGAAGACTTGGGGATCTCCGAGACCCATTATAGATGCAGTGGTGGTTACAAAATACCGCATGGAGTGTGAGCCTAAGGGCAGTGCTCAATGAGATCCTGACCCTCTTTCCAGAAACCTGGGCAGGTGTGCTGGCCAGGAGAGGATCAGGGCACAGGGCTCAGAACGCTGATAGAGAAAGGACAGAAGAATCTAGATGGGTGATCAGAAATGACTTTTGTGATGGGTCGCCCCAGCTCTCCCAGCAAAGGTTTCCCTCCTGATCCACACTCACCAGCACCAGTCTGGGTCTTGGTCTGGGTCAGAGCCTGGAGTAGCAAGAGCAGCAGGAGGGTGGCAGACAGCACTGCTGTCCCCATCTTTGGTGTCTGGAAACCTGGAGGGATTGAGACTTTGTTCCTCTCTGTGGAGTTTATAGCATCATGGTTTGTGGGGAGACACCACAGTGACTGTGAGTGACTCTCTCCAGAATTCTGATGTGCAGTGGGAGTGAGGACATGTGTCCAGATCGAAGAACAGGACAGCTGACAGGGGTTGAGGGCTACACAAAGGTATTCTGGAGTGATGAGAGAATTCCCAACCTATGGCTTCCCTACCTCAGACACCTTGAAAGGAAAACCTCAGACCAGGGACTTATGGAGACCATTTCCTCCTGTAATTGGTGTTCTTTGTCACATCTGCTTTCTCTGAGTCCTGTTCAGGAGGTATGTTGAAATTCTGAATGTTTTGGTTTCAGGATCTCTTATTTGTGCCTATACATTATTTACTACACCAAAGTTTTAATTAGGCTAAATCCAACAACATTTACTGTGTTAAAAGCTGCTCATGGTGGCCAACATCTGTAATGCCAGCACTAAGGAGTCTGTGCTGAGGCAAGAGGTATGACTCGAGTTTAAGGCCAGATCAATCTACATGACACTGGAATCAAAAAAGAAAAAAAATAGGATGTATTTGTGCGTGTGTGTGTGTGTGTGTGTGTGTGTGTGTGTGTGTGTGTGTGTGTGTGAATTTGTGTGTGAATTTGTGTGTGAATTTGTGTGTGAATTTGTGTGAATGTATGCCACATATGTGAGGATGTCATGGATGACAGAAGGGAGAGTCAGATTCCCTAGAACTGGAATTACAGGTGTTTGTGAGCTGGATGCTAGAAACTGAACTGGGGTCATCCACAAGAGCAGTAAGCACTCTTAACCATGGAGTCATCTCTTCAGTCCCTTGATACGTTGACTTAAAAACAGACTTAAAAAATGAGACTGCCCTTGTATTCTACAAGTAAGTAGAGGTGATCAAGAATGTCTTAAATGCTAATGAGCTTTTCACAGACTTGACTCAGACTAAGGTGTCAACAGATTAACTCACTGTCAAGCACACTACAGTGAATATGGCAAGTGAATTTGAGAAGCATGAAAGTGTTTTTGGTGTCATGCACCTCATGAAATTATTTAAGTAACTTCATGGGTTCTATCCAGCTGCACATGCTATTGTGTTTTGTATGTCTTGGAGGCATTTGGTTTATTTCCACCACCCAAGAGGCTGAGGCAGGAGGGCTTCCAAGATTTGAGGAACAGACTGAACTATATCATTTCCGTGTGTGAGAGAAGAAAAGAATGCAGAATGTCAGAATATAGTGAATGATTTTTATAGAAAGACAGTGCACTTGGAGAACATGTAATTGCCTGTTGGGCCCAGAGAACAGATGATTTTGTAAATGGTTTGAAAATGATTTTCTTTTTGGAGCATTGGATGAGACTGAAGTAGATGATGATGATGTGTGGCAAAAGTCTGTCCAGGGTGCTGATAGGCTTCTTTCTATAGAAACTCTTAATAAAACAGAGGGAGAAGACCACAGGTAATTATGTTCTCCTTTGGTGATTCAGGACATCAGGCAGATTAGGGAAGACAAGAGAAAAGCCTGTGCAATGTCTGCTGCTAACTTTCCTTATTTAAAATAACCAGCACAAGGCTGCAGAGTGACGCAGCCTTGGGTACAATAATAACTGGTGTCTGTTCACAACTCCTGGCTGCCCTGTGTATGGCAGGCTGGCATTTGGGCCTGGGTGAGTGGACCGTGTCTCCTGGCCACATGTGTTAGAGAGAGAATTTTCTAGAAGAGGACATGGCAAGGATAGGCCCAGGAAGGAAGAAATGGAGCAGTTGCTGCAGAATGGACAGAAGACTGACTGCCCTTTGGGAAGAGGTGATGGTCACCAGCCTATAGGAAACAAGAGGACAGGTTCCTAGACTTGCTCCTAACTCCCTACAGGCAGATTTGTGATGGGATAGTTGGAGATGGAGATGATGCGGATGATAAGGTGGAAAAGATGAGAAGAATCATTTGTAAGAATGTTTGTTGGACCAGCAGAGTCCCACCTCCTTTGAGCCAAAAATAAACACACAAAACTTATTAATCATGAATCCGTTGACCAATGACTAGGGCTCCTTATTGGCTAGCTCTGTCTTAATTATTAATCCATTTCTATGTATTTCCATGTGGTCTTGGCTTACTAGAAAACACATGGCATGTCCTGTCTTCCAGAGCTCACATGGCAACTCCACCTGCCTATATTTCCCTAAATTCTTATCTCCTAACCCTGCCTATACTTCCTGCCTCGCCAATCAGCCAATCAGCATTTTATTGATTAACCAATAAGGTGAACATATTTACAAAAAGACAACCCCCTGTCTAAATATAAAGAACTCCAATTGATAATTCCCTTACTCAGCCTCTCTAGTAGGTGGGATTGCTGATGTGAACCAGTATAGCTAGCTTCATGATTTTTTCCCCTTTAAGCTATCACAATGCCACCTTCATGTGTAAGTAAATATAATCAGTATAATTGTAGTAAGTATATAATTGGTGTGGTGACACATGTTGCAGGATCCTGACTGGTGTTCCTTGGGGGTGCGGGAAAGAAGGTGTGACACCAGCGACACAGGCATAGGGAGCAAGTTGAAACAACAAGCTCAGTTTATTCCAGGAAGGGGAAAACCTTATATATTTCCTGCCCCAGGGGAGGAAATCCACTGAACTGTCATCTGCTGAGGTGACATGGTTGCTGTCCTTTGGTCCATGTCATCTTTTGTTTGCTGTTGACAAGGCCCTCTGGCAGACCCAGGCTGACTGTCAGGAGATATCAACTGCACATGCTCTAGGACAGCAGCTGTCTGGCCCATTGAGGCTTGGTTTTCCCACAGACACATACCTGTAATTCCAGACCCCAGGAGATTGAGGCAAATTGCAAATTTAAGGGCAATCTTTGCTACATAGAGGGCTCTAACCCAGCCTTGCCTATATAATGGGAACTTGTCTGAAACATAAATGAAACAATAAGGAGGGAAATAGAAAAGGATAAGCTAGTGATGTAGTTCAGTGGTAAAGTGCATGCCTACCTCGCATGTACCAACTCCTAGTTTCAATCCGCAGGCCTCAAAAAATGCACAAAAAAGAATGAAGGAAAGAAGGAATGGAGGGAAGAAGAAAGGAGGGAAGGAAGGAAGGAAGGAAGGAAGGAAGGAAGGAAGGAAGGAAGGAAGGAAGGAAGAGATGGAGGCACAGAGCATAATGAGAATTCAAGAAACAAAGGACTTAGAAGTTCACTTCAGTAAAGATGACAAAATTTCCAAGTTGAATGAATTCTTAAAGTAACCTAATGCATGCCTGTCAATAGTTGTTTACTATAAGCTAACTCTGATGGCTCATACCTGTAGTCCCAGCTCTCAGCAGGCAGAGGCAGAGGATCTCTGTGAGTTCAAGGGCAGCTGGATCTATACAGTGAGTTGTAGGAGAGCTAGGGCTACATAATGAGATCCTGTTGTTTACTAAGGGGCTGGGAATTGGTTCTGTGCTTATCTTGCAAGAATGAAATCCTGTATTCCACCCCCAGAGCCCATGGGGTATGGCTTGTAGTCCCACACTGTGGAGAGAAACAGGTGGCTCTCTCAGACTTACTGTCAGCCAGCCTAGTCCAGTTGGTGAACTTCTGACTCTTTAGTAAACTCTGTCTTGAAAAGAAGTAGAGATATTTTTGTTTGCTTGTTTGTTTTTCTTTTAATAATCAATGTCTTCATTTCCCACCATTCTCCAAATCTAGTATAAATGTAACTGATGGCTGTGGGGCAGTTTCACACCTGATAATGCTAAAAATAAGAACCATGTAAAAATACAAGAACATAAGGACTCAATGTTGAACTCTACAACTAAAGATGAACTAATATTCAATGTATCTCAAATCATCTCATAAAATAGAAAAGGAAACAATATTACCAAAAGCAGTTTTTAAGATGACCATTATCCTGATATCAAAACTAACACAAAATGGAAAATTATAGGCCAATTTCCACGATGAACATGGATATAAACATTTTCAATACAACACTTGCAAGGAAAAGTCCACAGCATTAAAATGTCATATACCATGACTGATGGGGGAAGTCTTCTGTACATGTGTTTCTCTTATTGGTTAATGAATAAAGCACTGTCTGCCAATAGAGAATCAAGATAGGTGGGACTAGGAGACAAGGAGAATTCTGGGAAATGTAGTAAAGTGAAGTCGCCATGTGATCCAGGCAGGAAGTGACACAGCAGACAGTAACAGTACATAAACAAGAACAAACAGGAAATGACTCTCTACTCTTCTCTCTCTCTGTAGAGATGTTTAGGAGATAAGGTATGCTGTGGCTTGCTCCTTCTCTCTGATCTCTCAGCATTTCCCTCTGTACCTGACTCTGGCCCCTTATTATCTAGACCAATTTAGGCCTCGGTTTACACATGACAAAATTGGCACCATTCCAAGGATACAAGGATGGTTCAACATATCAATAACTGTGATGTAGCACATAAAGAGATGCAAGGACAGATTCCACAGGGTCACCTCAATGTCTGCAGAAAAGGTCTTTGACAAAATTCAACTCTTTGATGATAAACTTAAACCCTGAAGGAACTAGGGATAAAAGGAATGTATTCCAACATAATAAATGCTCTATATAAGAAAATTCTATCCAGCATTATACTAAATGGAAATAGCATTTCCTCTAAAATTAAGATGAGACAAAGGTGTTTATTTTCTTTACTCCAGTTTAATACAGTTCTTGATGTCTTAAGATCAATAAGGGAAGAGAAAGAAAGAAAAAGGAAAACAGACATAAGGCACAAAGTTAAATAACACTATGTTTGAAATCTAACATAATTTCATCAAAGTAGAAGGAAATAAAGCCCCATACCAAAGCCAGCAGCTTTCCAATACATCAACAAGAAACATGGTGAGAATTATCTGGAAAATAATTCCATGCACAATTGCTTCAAAAACAAAACAATTAAATACCTAGGAATATACATAAGGAGGCTAAAGGCATCTACAATAAAGCTTTAAAACACCTAATATGGATGGGCATGATGACTAAATCTGTAATCCAATGATCAGCTGGCAGAAGAAGGGATATTGCTGCAACTTAGTGGCCAGCCTGGTTTACATAGTGAGACCTTGTCTCAAAAACTAAAACTAACCAAACAACAACAGAAAAGGAAGAAGGAAAGAAAGAAAAGGAAAGAAATAAAGGATAGTAGAATATAGAAAGGCTTACTATGCTCATGAATGGGCAAAATTAATATTGAAATATGGCTATAGTCCTGAAATAAATCTAGAAATTCAATGTAATTCCCAGTGACGTTCTTTAAAGAACTATAAAAAAATAAAGGTCTAAATTTATATGGATGCAGAAAGAAGCTCTTATTAGCCAAAGTAGTTCTTAGCAGGAAGAATAACACCAGAAGTGTTAAAATCCTGGTCTCAAATTCTGTTACAGAGGCATGGTTTAAAAAAAGAAAATATACAAAGGTATGGTATTGGCCCAGAAATAGACACAGACCAATGGAATAGAATAGAGGCCTCAGATATAATCTCTAGCTACAGTGTTATAACCACCTACATTCCAGGACCAGACGCTCCCCATTCCCATCAAGAACATAGAGCCAGCATCCCTGTCATCACAATGCAACAAGTTTCCACTGTACCATGGTCCCCTATGCTCATGTTCAATACCCCTTACAAAGTACTTGCCATCATCCCTCACTCAACGCCCCCCCATCCCTACGAAGAGGCAGCATTTTGAACCCCTCTCCCAATAAATCCATTGTGTGAGGTCTGTTGCATGGTGGGATTATTTTTGCATTCTTTGGTCATCCGATCCCTCAAAATACCCTTACATGCACTTATTTTATTTTCAATCACGGCGGGGGTGGGGTGGGGGAGAAAAGCTCAGCCAACAAATGGTGTCAGAAAAAATTTCTTCTGTTCTTCCTTTTGTCCTTGGGCCCAGGGTGGGCCTTTCATCCTCAATTAGTATCTGGAAACATCTTACCGATGGGACCAGAACTGAATCTTCTAGGATATTCTGAATCCAGTCAAGTTGACAATGAAGCTTAGCCATCACAGCTACGTAGTGAGTTCCAAGACAGTCTGGGATACAGTGTGAGATGCTGTTAACAGCGAAACAGAAAAAGGAAATGTGAGTCCTGGGCTACATATTGAGCACCTAAATGAGGAATGTGCAAACAGTCCTGAGTGTTTTGGAAGAAGATTTATAGCCACTCATGTTAGTGGTAAGAACAGCATCCATGGTAGGAAGGTGATGGGGATGTACTCTTTTTGCTCTGACTATATGTTTTTCTTTTCTTTTTCTTTTTCTAAAAGATTTTATTTATTTATTATGTATACAACATTCTGCTTCCATGTATATCTGCACACCAGGAAAGGGCACCAGATCTCATAACGGATGGTTGTGAGCCACCATGTGGTTGCTGGGAATTGAACTCAGGACCTCTGGAAGAGCAGTCAGTGCTCTTAACCTCTGAGCCATCTCTCCAGCCCCAACTACAAGTTTTTCTTATTGTTTGATTAATAAAGCTGTTTGGGCCAATGGACAGGCAGAATTTAGCAAGAGGCAATCCTGAACAAAGAGACAGGGAGAAGAAAGAGAAAAGGGATGCCATGTGTAAGGATTCAGGCATTATGCTGGCCTGCCCCTGTTTCCTGACAGAAAGCACTCAGAAAGTACTTTGGTCAGCCCAGGGTTCCAAGAGTACTAGTCTGCAATAAGGTACAAAGGACCCCTTTGAAAGACAGACCCCTGTCCACTTATGCTCTCTTGCTCTCTTACTCTCTTGTTCTCACTCCTTTTGCCCCCTATCCCTTGGCCCCCTCGTAGCCTACCCCCTTTAATAAACTCCATGGTTAATGAATCTCTTGATTCATTTTCCATCACACTATGAAATTTAAACAAAAGAACAACATTTGGTATCATGACTCAGATTTCCATCATGATCGCTTGCTGTAATTTGAACAAAAGAACACCACCATATAGTCGACAGAAAGTCAAGACACCCAGGCATCACTAGTAAGCCAAATATATTTTCTGATACATAGATTAACTGAAATGGTTTAATACTTAATGGATAGCTAGCCAGTAAGAAGCCTTAGTCATTGGCCAAAAAAATAAATAAATAAATATTAAGTCTTTGAGTGGTATTTCCTACCTGCTTTGGAGACCTGGTGGGCAGACAGAAACTGGTCCAGTGGAACCCAGATAGACTGAGAAAGTCTTTCTGAACAGAAAAGAGTTGTATATGGGCATTCCACTTGGGGGAGGGGTTGAGGAAGAAAGGGGAGAGTATATATGATCAGTCCTGAGTTGTCATGGTGACAGATACATATTGTTTTCTCTCCCATGACTTGTAGCCTCAGATAGGACATATAGGAAGCATTTACAAAGAGTCTGTGACTGCCTGCTATCTGAAAATTCACTTGGTTAATTTCTTACTTTTAGGTATAAATAATAGATTACAAATTCTTATCATTTCAAAACAATGACTTTAATACATGATATTGGAGTTGGTGATTATTTGTTTGGGGGAAAAAGCCAGTGAACCAAATTTGAGCATTTATAGCTAGGAACAGAATTGACAAGCCCATCAACATCAGGTCCCTTAAGATCCACTGAGCACAGGAAATCACTGACACCTGGAGCTGGTCTCCATGGGACAGTTCTCCTACTATTCATGGGACCTGGACGTGCCAGTGTCACTCTTGTCAAAATCATTCATGCCATTCCAGCTTCTTCCCATCTCCATGGGCTGAGTGAAGGCCCAACATGAGGTCAGTCAACTGGTGGAGCTGAGAACTCCTGTGGTGCCAGCTACAGAGATGTTTGGGAAAGGGAGACTGATGGGGGAACTTGCTGTTTCCTTTCTACACACTTTCTAGGTATGCCCTACATGTATAAAGAGAGTTCAAGAGCTGGTACAAGATGGAAAGAGATGGCAAGACAGTGATGAAAGTAGATTCCTGGAAAAGGTATCTGAGTAACTACATTGGGGGAAAGAAAAACACTGATAGAGATCCAGGACAGTGATGTTCTAGACTGCCCTCATATCCCTGGACTTTAGAAAGTGATAGCACAGCTGGGCATGGTGACACACAAGTTTAATCCTAGCCTTTGAAAGGCAGAGGCCGCTAGATCTCTGAGTTTGAGGCCAGCCTGGCCTATATAGTAGGTTCCATGACAGCCAGGGCATTAAGACACCTTGTTTTAAAAACAAACAAACAAAACTACTAGTGCACTGAGTCCCAGGTTAGGTAAGAACTCACACATAGGTGTGTATCATAATAACAAAACAGGAGACGAGCACATTTCCATCTAGGGCTTCCACTCCATAGCAGCCCCTCAGACACCAATGCCTTCCTTACCTGCACTTTTCTTCCTCATCATCACAATGGCAGCCACAGCTCCAGTGACCACAACTCCAAGGAGAACCACACCAACAGTTATTCCAATTGTGAGCCAAGGACAGCTCAGCACTGATCCTACTTAGGATCTCCAGAAGGTCACCTGTTTCCTTGACAACAGGCTCTGTGCTCACACACCTCCTTACCCCATCTCAGGATGAGGGGCTCAGGCAGACCCTCATGCTGCACATGGCATGTGTATCTCTGCTCCTCCCCAGGAGGCACCACCACAGCTGCCCACTTCTGGAAGGTTCCATCTCCTGCAGGCCTGGTGTCCACCAGCTCCATGTCCTGGGTCTGGTCTTTTCCATCCCTCTGCCAGGTCAGGGTGATCTCAGCTGGGTAGAATCCCAGGGCCCAGCACCTCAAGGTGACATCACCTTCAGGTGTAGGGTGATGGGTTACATGTGCCTTTGGAGGGTCTGAGGACAGGAGTTGGAAAATTCAAGCATTTTATATTTTTTTCTGGGGACTTTAGCAGCATTCATGGGCCTATTTTGGCAAAGCACAGGAGAATCAAGATGTGTGTGTAGAGGGGTATAAACTCCACACAAGTTGTCTACACTCAGGCACTTGTACAATCTTTTTCTTTGAAAAGGAGGATTCCCAAGTTTCCCACCATGAAAACAGGGTTTCTGATCCTGCCTTGGTTGGAGTGATGAGAGACTCATCACCATTTGGGTCAGACCTCCAAAGAATTGGTTGTGGCCAGAGAACTCAGCCTCTAAGAGGTCTTGGTTCACTACAGGCTGCAGACTGAAGAGGTTATTTTAGGAAACCTCTTTCCTATCATCCCCAGACAACCTAAACTGTTCTGAGAGAAGGGTGAGCTCTTGGAGAGTCACTCTCTGAAGTGGGGTCAGGAAAACCAGGAACACTCCTTCCCCTTAGTATACAAGAGAGAGCTACTGTAGCTCAACTGGTACTGTTTTCCTCTTTTCTTGGAGGCAGGCTTCTTACTTTGAGTGCAGATGGAGGAATTAATTTTCAGCCTCTCTTACCTGAGCGTTGCAGAATCTCCTTCCCTAGCTCCAGGTGCCAAAGTAGCCAAGGAACACACCGGCCCCCCAAGAAGATGCCTATGTCCAATGCTACGTTTTTTTTCTCCCACTCTCGCTGGATGTTCTGAGCTGTCTTGTCTGCCACAGTCCAAGTTCTCAGGTCCTCGTTCAGGCTGATGTAATCGCGGCCATCAAAGGCATATCTATTGTGCCCACGGAGGAGGCGTCGGTGTGGACCCACATCACAACCAATGAAACACTGAAAGGTATGAGAGCCTGCAGCCGCCCCAGAGTTAACCTGGTCCACAGAGCTCCGCCCACCCACAGAATTTCCACCTAAACTGAATCAGAAACCAGGTCTCAGTCCAGTGGGTGCTCTCTTAGGTCCAGGTTCTTTGCTGGCTCAGCAGCCTCAGAGTGAACCTAGGACCTGGGACCCGGGGTGACTTGGGCCTCTTTGAGGAGTCATGTAAGGGGTCACTCACCGTCATCACTCTTGTTATAGATCTGGATTGCAAATCGCAAGTTTTCTATGGCTGTATGTGCATAATACTCCAGACTCTCTCTCTCCAACCTCCAATAATCGCGCCCCATTTGCTTTGCCCATGGCACGCGCGGCTCCACGATAGCCTCACTGTTGAAGCTCAGGATTTGCGTGTTGTCCACATAGCCAACAGCGAAGACTTGGGGATCTCCAAGACCCCTTAGAGATGCCATCGTGGTAACAGAATAGCTCAGCGAGTGAGACCCTGGGGATGATGCACATTGAGACCTGGACCCTCCTTTGGGAACCCTGGATAGGTACAAGGGCTGGGAAGGGATCAGGGTATATGGAGCAGAGCAGAGGCAGGAGGGTCTGTGTGGGTGATGAGAAAAGGCTTCAGGGATGCGGCCCAGGCCAGTCACCCTGGCTTCTCCAGGCAAAGGCTGTTTTCCCCTGATCCACACTCACCAGCTAGGCTCTGGGTCTTGGTCTGGGTCAGAGCCAGGAGTAGCGAGAGCAGCAGGAGGGTAGCAGACAGCACTGCTGTCCCCATCTTTGGTGTCTGGAAAGCCTGGAGGAATTGAGACTTTGTTCCTCTCTGTGGAGTTTATAGCATTGTGGTTTGTGGGGAAATACCACAGTGACTGTGAGTGGCTTTCTCCAGAATTCTGAGGTACAGTGGGAAGGAGAACATGTGTCCAGATCGAAGAACAGGACAGCTGACAGGGGTTGAGGGCTACAGAAAGGAATTCTGGAGTGATGAGAGAATTCCCAACCTATGGCTTCCCTACCTAAGACACCTTGAAGGGAAAACCTCAGACCAGGGACTTATGGAGACCATTTCCTCCTGTAATTTGTGTGTGTTGTCACATCTGCTTTCTCTGAGTCCTATTCAGGAGGTATGTTGAAATTCTGAATGTTTTGGTTTCAGGATCTCTTATTTGTGCCTATACATTATTTACTATACCAAGGTTTTAATTAGGCTAAATCCAACAACATTTACTGTGTTAAAAGCTGCTCTTGGTGGACAACATCTGTAATGCCAGCACTAAGGAGTCTGTGCTGAGGCAAGAGGTGTGACTCAAGTTTAAGGCCAGATCAATCTACATGACACTGACATTGAAAAATTTATTTATGCTTGTGTGTGTGTGTGTGTGTGTGTGTGTGTGTGTGTGTGTGTGTGTGAATTTGAGCAAATGTATATCACCTGTGGGATGTCATGGAGGTCAGAAAAGGGATTTAGATTCCCTAGAACTGGAATTACAGGTGTTTGTGAGCTGGATGCTAGAAACTGAACTGGGGTCATCCACAAGAGCAGTAAGCACTCTTAACCAGGGAACCATCTCTTCAGTCCCTTGATACTTTGACCTAAAAATAGACTTAAAAAGTGACCCTGCCCTTGTATTCTGCAAGTAAGTAGAGTTGGTGAAGAATGAAGTAACTCCTAATGATTTCTACACAGCTTTGTTTCAGACTAAGGTGTCAACAGATTAACTCACTGTCAAGCACACTACAGCGAATATGGTAAGTAAAATTGAGAAACAAAATACAAAAGTATTTTTGATGTCATGCACCTCATGAAAGTATCTAAGTAACTTCATGGGTTCCATCCACCTTTAAACATTATTGTGTTTTGTATGTCTTGGAGGCATTTGGTTTATTTCCACCACTCAAGAGGTCGAGGCAAGAGGGCTTCCAGAATTTGAGCAACAGACTGAACTATATCATTTGTGTGTGAGAGAGAGGAAAAGAATGCAGAATGTCAGGGAATAGTAAATGATTTTTAGAGAAAGTCAGTGCACTTGGAGAACGTATAATTAATTGCCTTTTGGGCCTAGAGAACAGATGAGTTTGTAATGGTTTGAAACTTATTTTCTTTGAGCATTGGATGATGATTCTATGTGGCAAAAGAAGTCTTTCCAGGATGGTGACAACTTCTTGCCATAGAGACTCCTAATAAAACGGAGGGAGAAGGCCACAGGTGATTATTTTCTCCTTTGTTGAGAAACTGTGCTCTTAGAGAGGAGCTCTGTAATCAACATGCTCATAATGATGAATTTTGCCTTATGCCCTGACTATACAATTGTCCATGAGATTCATACGGTGATTCCTACTATCTTCTCCCTTGCATTTTCCTGAGAAGCCTATACTGATCAGTTTGTGTTGAGCCTTGTGTTGTTTCCATGTGCCAGGTGGATATTTGTTGCCAACTTCTAACTGGATATTGCCTTCCCACTCAGTGTAAGTTTCTGTGAATATTACAGTTTTTCCCATTTTCATGGAAAAATAATGCTTTATTTATAAAGCAATTGAAAATCAAAACAAGCAAACAAAAACATTATAATCTAAGCATGGTGGTGCAGGCCTTTAGTCCCAGTACTCTGAAGGCAGAGGCAGGAAGATCTCTGAGGTTGAGGCCAGCCTGGTCTACAGAGTGACTTCCAGGACAGCTAATGCTGCATAGAGAAACCCTGTCTTCAAAATCTAAATAATAACAACAAGAACAACAATAATGGTAATAATGAAATGAAATGAATTTTTTTTTTATCTTTAGGAGGATTTTAAAAGGAATGCTATGAGAGTAAGTAGATGGATCCTGATCCATGACCTTGGGTAATGGCTACTTACTTCATGGTACTGTCTGCATCTGTGGCTTGAAAACTGGCCTAGGAATCTAAGCCCTATTAGGGCTGGCCCTACAATTGTCCTGATCTCATTTGCTTTGATTCACATGAATTCAGGAGGACATTTTTCTTTCATTTTGATGTTAGTTGGGTGGTTTAGTGGTACTACGTAAAGTTCTTTCTGATGTAAGAAACCCAGCGAAAAACCAAATATGTTTTGAGGAGCACATATATCCCATTTTATAGAAGATGTGTGCAAGCCAAAGTGTAAGAGGTCATAAGAAGTCCATTTGGCCAGGATCCTTCATGATATCTGGACTCCTTTGAAGCCATTTATCCATTTTAGGTTATGGGAAATTAATAGTATTATTCAGAGATAAGACCAGATTATGAATTGGGCACAAAAAGAATGAGGGCATTTGAGGCTCTATGCTTAGTATCTGTAGGCCTATAATGTGCTATGCATATAGTTTTAGTTTTGTTTCTCTGTGTAGCTCTGGCTGTCCTGGAATTCACTCTGTAGACCAGGCTAGCCTTGAACTCAGAGATCCACCTGCCTCTACCTCCCCAGTGCTGGGATTAAAGCTGTGCAACCCCCACCTCATCTATTTTAGCTACTTAACTCTAGCAACGTTAGAGGGAAAGTGAGCAACCAGCAACAAATCAGTCATGATAACATCTGCTGGCACATAGAGTACCAGCAGAAGTTAAGAATATGTAGTTTCCAGATTGTGCCAATTTCTTGTCAAACTCCATACTTGTCATTTGGAGTCATTTTAGTTGTGTGAATGTTTTCTTTTGCCTAAAAGAAAGTTCTAGAAAGAGCAATATTCTTAATGGCATAAACTGACTTCCTAGTGGTCTCAGTGTGCCCATGGGAAATTGTGGCATAGCCAGTCATAATCTGTCTTCTAAGGAACTGAAGTAGAGTAGAGAGGGTATGTTGATTCCACCATCTGGCACAAGAAGGGATAAAAATGAATGTAGAAGAGAAAGGTGGAGATTTTTTCCCATTTTATTTTGCTCAGGGTATTTTCAGTTATATAAGTTGAGAACCCTGGTGTTCAAGAATCTCAAAAATAGGCAAGTGAACACAAGAGGGAAAGGGAGAAATAACTACAACTCACTCCCAGGAACTGGAGAAAATAAAAAAAGGAGAAAGAAAAAATTTAAAGACTAGAATCAATTGGTGGGTTGTTGTTGTTGTTGTTGTTGTTGCTGTTGCTGTTGTTGCTGTTGTTGTTGTTGTTGTTGCTGTTGTTGTTGTTGCTGTTGTTGTTGTTGTTGCTGTTGTTGTTGCTGTTGTTGTTGCTGTTGTTGTTGTTGTTGTTGCTGTTGTTGTTGTTTTATATTTGCTACCTCCTTCGTCGTCGTCCTTTCCTCTTGTCTTCATCATTGCCTTCATCTTCTTCACCTGCATCCTCATCCCCTTCTTCAAAATCTTCCAGTCTTCTTTCTCCTTCTTATTCCCATTCTCCTTCATCACCAGTCCTCACTTTTCTAAGCTACTGATTATGAGGGGAGGGGGTCCTCCTAAAATTTAACTAGCTACCTAGCAGTCTGACACATAAAAGAGAAAAAAGGTCAGTTGTGACTGTCATAATTTCTGTTAGCAGAGAGTGGAAAAAAGTCACACCACTATCTTTAAGATTCTAGTTCCTAATCTGCTCTAACTGTGAGTGGCCTTGGGGTATAATCAAGGTTGTTTGCCCACATGGCATATTCAACTCACATGGCATATACTGATCCTTGGGGATATGTCCTGTCATTTAAAGGCAAGCCAGCTACTCGTCCACTGTCCTACTTTTTATAATACCCGTAAATGTTTGAAAGCAAACTCTGTGGTCACTGAAGGGGAACTAGACTCCTTGTTAAAGTTTTGCTTTTGTACAGGCATAGTGTCTCACACCTCTAAAATCTCAATATTCAGGAGCCTGAGGCAGGAAGACTATGGGGAGTTTCAGACCAGCTGCACTACAGTAAGAAATTGGAGCTGGTGTTGTAACACAGCAGAGTGCTTGCCTGGGCTTCATCATCATCCCATAAAACTTGATGTGGTGGTGCAAACTCAGGATTCAAGAAGCAGAAGCATGGGCTATGGAAATGAATCGGTAGTTCAGAGTACTTGCAAAGGGCCCAAATTTAGTTCCCACACCCATGATGGGTGGCTTGTAACCATCGTTAGGGGATCTGAGGAACCAAGAATCTGGCCATCAAGGGTTGAAGTGTCTGGTTGAAGTACTCTCTGGTGGCTACAATCGCCAGGGAGATGGAGATGTTCCAGTGAGCTCCTTCCCGTGAAGGGAGGATCCTCCCTCAGAGGTCTTCTAACAACTTCTTTCCTTCCACATTGTTCAGATGGGCTCTCTTTTGTTGTTTGCACTGTTCTGTGTGCTCCAGCATAGCTGACCTATGAGCTGCCAGGAGAGTCTTCTATGTATCTCTCATCCCACCATGGGAAGCTGGGATGAAGAACTCATCTTCCCAGCCTCATAAAAAGGGTCCTTAATGTGGAAATGTGTGTGTGTGTGTGTGTGTGTGTGTGTGTGTTTGTGTGTGTTGGGGGGCAGTCATCAGGCTTTCATCAGAACAAGCATACTTACCTGCTAAGAAATCTTGCTGGGCTTCCTCCTTTTTGGTTCCTTTATACTGAGGATTAAATATAGGGCCAGATCTGTGACAGGAAGTTCTCTACCACTGAGCCACATCCCTAACACTCTCTGCTTTTTGACATAGTCTCCCTAACTTGCCTAGTTGCCTCCAAATTATAATCTCCCTATTTCATCCTCTCTGGTAGGTGGATAACTGATGTGAACCAGTGTAGCCTGCATTGTAATTTTTTTCCTTTAAGCTATCACAATGTCACCTTCATTTGCAAGTAAATATAATCAGTATAATTGTAGTAAAAATAATTGATATGGTGGCACTT